TGGAGTTTGGTGCTCTGGTCTTCCCAGTGTGTTTAAGGCATCATGTCTTCGCATCGCTATGAAAGTAGTGTCTCAAATTTATTTTTACATTTTCTGTTTTGCAGAAGAGAGTTTCATGGGATTAAACTTCCCTGAATTGCTGGAGTCACACAACAGCTTGTATCTATAATGGAAATACTAAACAGTTTTGGGAAATCTGATGCCCAGCTTCCTGACCTTTGGCTTCAGATATATTTGGACTCTGCTTGTCATACTGTTGTAGTTTCCTATTCAAACTATGATTTGAGTGACTCCCCTCCCCCAGCCCTAATGAAGATGTTTACCAGAGTCGCATCTGTCTGGTGTGACTTGCAGACTTTGTTTAGTGGAGGAAGGCCCAAGGCTGGCCTGCCAGAGGTGAGATAAATTGGGACTGAAATCCCCAGGGAGAGCCTGAGGTGTGAAAGCTGTTCTGCTGTGACTAGCTCTCATCAGTAATGATAACCCCTCAATTTTGTGCCACCTAAATTCACCCAAAATTATATGCTAAATATAAATATTCATTTTATAAATATGCATGTTAATTAAATATACATTTATTTTAAATGCATGTGTTAATTATACATGTTACATCAGATCACAATTAAGTCAATAGAAATTGGAGATTTGCATATAATCATCCTTGTATACTAATCAGTTGTCAGTCTAGAAAGCAATTTTCTGCAACCAGATAGAATATAGACCTTGGTCCAGTGATCAGTTCAAAGATTGGGTATCAGCATCAGTTCTTTTGTTTTTATGGATTTTCTTGGGAAGAAATATGACTCATTTTCAATGCATAAGGAATACTCAATAATTTCTTCATGTTTTATACTACTGCTTCCAGGGGCACTGTGGAGTTCAGATTTTGGCTGAATGAGGTTACTCCTCTGATGTGTCAAAACTGCAGTAAACCTGCCTCAGTAATTTCTTTTGGTGTGGGATGCAAATTCTCTTTGAGCAACACATGTTCTTTTTCTGGTGTGCTACCTAAATGTAACTTTGCCTAACCCTTAATCTTCTGGGAAAAATACAAGCAATTCTCCAGGATGTTGTTGGATAGTAGCTATGGTCATATTGCCTGCTCTTGCCTGTTGATTTTTGCAGGGTGGAAGCTTTGGTGCTTGTTCCATTTGCTATATTAAAATCCACTTCAAATCTCCATGTTTCATATCAATGTAGATAAAACTGGACATTTGTCCTGTTCCAATACAAATATATAAACAATCCTGAGAAAACACTTGAGGGCTGAACTGTCCAGAAAGCAGAGCTACTTTGAGAGTTTGGTTTATCTGAAGCGTTTCTCTAATGGAAGGAGGTGAATTTAGAGCTCAGTTTTGCCTGACTGTGTTCACTGGTACCCAAACTCACCATGGCAGTTGTTGCATCCAAGGCCATCCTTGCAGGGCAATGAGCTTTAGTCAGCACGCTGTGAGTGCCATCCCACCCAAAGGAATTGACCACACGCACAAGTGCTCTGGGGAAGGGACTTCTTCCTGAACTGGAATTTGGGGATCAAAGAGGAGATGAACATTGAGCTCCTGATGGCTTTGGCAGTGGGATGCTATGTTGCTTGGGAATAAGGACCCCATCCAGAGAAGCAGTTAAAGACTTGTTTTGAGGACTGCCGAGGAATGTGGTTCATGGAAATAATATATCCTTAAGTCAAGGCTGCTTTTGCATCACAACAGTCTTGTGAGGGGAATATGATAAAGTGTTGTGGTGCTTTCCCCCCCCAGCATTCTCCCCACATTCACAAACTCTTGGTTCAGTGTCTCAAACAGGACTGTGGACAGTGCTGTGTCTCTCACTATGTGTTCCACCAAGTCTTGTTGACTTTTCCTCCAGAGCTTTTAATTCAGTTTTCCTTGGAAACATTACCATTATAGAGCATTATTCATCCTGAATATTTTTCAGGTTAAAACCCAACAATGCATTAAAACAAACCCTGTGAAAAATAGCTATTTTATCAGTCATTTTAATCTTTAAAATATTTGCTTCATGTATCCAGGACACCGTTGATTGCTTGCTGTATTATGTAAATCTAGAGAATAAAATAGGTCACTCTTAAAATTGTCTTCTTGTAAGGATGTAATTAAGCTGCATTAAGACAATTACTGTATTGTAAGTATCTACTGATTTTTAAAAAACAATGTAGTTTTAGTTTTGACAGTGATATAATTTCCTATTTATTATGTTTTAATTAGGAAGCAGGGGTAAGTACGATTAAGGTATGGTAATTTGACATAACTATTGAAATTCTGAAGTAACACAGCTAGTCTGCAGTACAGTAGTAGTGGAAGGGGAAGAAGGAAAGAAAAATTTATGATTATTCAAATCAAGAATTCTGGTAAATAGGAATCCTGAACCACATGCCTCTGGACTCTGCTCATGTTTCGGTCTGACTCTCTTCCTCATTAAGGGAAGGGTGAACTTGGTCTTAACTTTAAGAATCCTAGAATTTTTGTAGGTGCTGGGAAGGTTGAGTGTAATTTTGATGCCAGTGATATGATTTTTGTCTCAGTGTGTCCTTGAAGTCTGTATTTTGGCTTTCTCCAAATGTAAGAACTAAGATGAACTGAAAAAGAAGTAGAAGATATATCCACCTTTCAGAGAGTGAAGGGTAGAAAATGGCTACCTTGGCATGTCCAAAAGATTAGGAAGAATAAGAGAAAAAACAAGAAAGCACACATATGTGGGTAGAAACACTATTCAGCATAGACTTCAGCAGTGTGGCAATAGAAGGTGAGGGAACAAAGAGAAAATTGACAAGAAATCAGGTCAATTTTGGCTTTCCAAGGATCTGTCAAATCCATGGTCTTCAACTGTATGACAGCATGAAAATGAGCTTCCCAATCTGTCTGTTCCACTCCAATTCCCAATACCATTGTAAGTTTCTATGTCTAATATAAGACTGCTCTTTCTGTGTCCTGAGACCTGCAGCTCTGGAGAAGAGATGATTCCTTCAGAATCAGCTTTTCAGCTGTAGGCATTGCTTGTGAAATCTTGTATTATCCTTCCTTTGGACAATTAGACCACATAAATAAATTTTGCTCATATTTGCACAGGACTAACGTCATATCTTGGGTTGGTAACTTTGAAGAAGGAAGCAGTGGGCAAATTTCTGAGTTGGCAAATTTCCATCTATCATGGCGTTGTGGCTGCAAAGTGAAGTGAAAGGGGGATTAGAACAACAGTAACCTGGCCAAACTGAAGGCTGAAAATGCAGGCTTGTAAGGAGCTGCTTGACTGGAGGGAGTCTGTGAGAGGTCATCCTCAGGAATGGAATTTTAAACCTGGTCATGTGTTGGAATCCAAAATTCAGGGAATTCTCTGAACTTTGGGCCTGTAAGCCAAAGCTTAGAATTAAACGCAGGATTTGAGACATTAGAAAAGGCTTCCAAACTTAGGTGCTAGAAGTGAGACTGTAGATTTATAGTTTAAAGCAGAGTCACATTAAGTAGAAGAAAGTTCAGAATTTTAGAGTTTAAGATGTAAAAAAATTAAAAGTAATTACAAAAGTAAACAAGGAGTTTAGAATGCAGTACTGTAAGTTTGTGTGTCATTACATGATTAGCAAAGAAAGCTTACACTATAGCATGAATCCATAAGATGAAATATTTAAAGATTAAGTCAAAACCAAAAGTATTCTTGTTAGGGATGTTTTATTGGTCAATAAATACTTAAAAAGTCTTATAACTAGGAATCTTGTGACCTTCTTGAGCCATAAGGTGAAGATGTAAACTGAACTCCCCCTTCCTGCCTATGTAAAAAATAAAAAATAAACAGCGTCATCTAAAAACTCAGAAGTCCCATCTCTAACGCATTCAAAATTCCTTTAAAAATCCCCATAGTCATATTTAAGGTTTCTTCAGAATTCATAGGGCCCAAACCATTGAAACTTATTCTCGAAATTTGCAAATGATGCAATGTTAGAATATGAACATTTCATCATAAAGAACTGAACAACTGTTGTCATTGAGGAGCGAAACAAATGGGATAAGATTTCTACATTAAATTTTAAGTCACAAGTGTAAGAAGTAGAAATAATTTCTGCCACAAGCAGGAAAATTCTGCATTTGGACATAATGGTGGAACCAGGCCTACCTGTGTTAAGAGTTAACCTGATCACAAATTTCTGGCCATTATTAATTAATGTGGGTAACACCAGCATCAGATATGTCATGTGGAATTTTTGCAGTGGGAAAACACAGGTGGAAATTTGTCTAAATACTGTTCACCATTTTGGCCATGCACGTTTAAGAAGGAAGATTTCCGTCAGGAACATATGCAGGCTGGTGAAGAAGTTTCCTTTTATAAGGGAAGGCAACAATGGCCTACATAGTCCATTTAAAATCAAATACATCTGACCTTTTCATAACAAATTAAGAAAAGATTCAGGATAGGGAGGAACTATTTATGATAAAGGATAATAATTATTAAGAGTAAACAGCTACTAATAGGCTGGGAGTACAGTTTTTACCTCTGTGATCCTCCATGAAGTCTTCATGAAACCTTTGCTTACCATGGGGCTCTGGCAGGTGAAATACCTTCTGAAATTTCTCTGAGGCTGCTGTGAGGAGTCAGCAGTCTTCTCCATCCACTTCTAGGGACTAGGCTTGTGGATGGGGTTGTGCCCTTGGAGCCCATTACCCTCTCTACAGACACCCACAAAGGGATTAAGTCACACATAAAACTGAAAGCAGCACCTGGAGTGCATTTGGCATTCCAACAGAGAAGTGTTGTTCTCCCAGGCTGATCTGCCAGCTGGCACAAGGACAGCAGGGTCTGACCTGGTCACTGGGATGACCTCCAGAACAGCAGCAGAAGTTCTCCTCCCAGAGAGCCATTACCTGCAGCACTTGCAGGATGAGCAGAAAAGATGGGGGTTAAGGGAAGCGAAACCTCACTACTGCTAGTCTGTCAATTTTAGCCAATTTGCACTCATGAATACAGATTTTTTTCTTCTTCTTGCTTCACAGGTGCACCCCTGCTGCACCAGGCATATTATTCTACGCTGCTGTGAAAGTGTGGCTGCCAGGGTAAGCTGTTACAGTTAAATTGTATATCTATATTTTACAAGATCCATAATGCTCATATCTGCAGATATTCACTTATAATTATGTACAGAATTATACACATGTATTTACATTAAAAAATCAGGCTAACCAACTGTCCTTTAAATGTTTTGCCGTTGTCCTCTCTTTTCCTTTCTTTCATTCCAAACATCCCTAGGACTCCAAGACAACATTCTTAAAATAAATGTTGGGCCTTTAAGTAAAACTCCCTTTCTGTGAAAGGAAAGGTATTGTGACTCTTACAGCCTTAACACTAATCACTCACTGCTCCTTCCTGGAATATAAACTAACTCTGTTTATTAATCTGAAATAAACAGCAGGAACATCTCTGGCACCATTGAAAAAATGAATGCTGTGCACTTTATTTTAAATGTAGTGAGTGGAAATTTTACTGTTGGTGCTTACTGAACCAGTTCAGGTGAATAATTTAGGCATGAGGATGTAAATTAATTGGTAGGGTTTTTTTCTCCTTCTTGAGTTTACTTAATGCATATGGCTTATAAATTTGTATCCGGATATGGAGTGAGATCTATTTTGTTTAAACTTGTATTCCAGGCATGTCTGTGGTGGTACCAAGTACCCCGAAATCATCTGGCATCTGTGGGAGTTGCAAGAGTTCAGTGCTGAGCAGAAAATCAGGCTCTTTGTGCTTTGAGAATGCTAATCCATTGTTAGGGTTTCCTTTTAAACTGAAAATAAACACAATGTGTGTTCTGTTAACTTAGACAGGTGCTAGAGCCGACAGCTCGAGGTTTAAGGGCAAGGGTCAAGCAATCAAAAGTGGTCCTCTCTTGCACAGATCATCAAACAGGGAGTGCATCAATGGGCTCAGTGGCCAAGGCTGGAAATTAATCAGCTCAGCCCTCGGTGTTTAGCCATGCTGATTATATACTGGCAAAGTGAGCAGGAGCTGACAGGCCAGGGGAGCTAACGTAATAGGAGTGCCTTCCCAACAAAGGCAGGGAAGAAAGATCAATTTGCAATATTCTTTTCTGTACCCATGCAACAAAGCAGAAACATGAAAGCAGAACATTAAGGGATGCTCCCTATGAACTGGACAAATCAATAAACATCAGTGGTAAGGGGAGAAAAAAAAGTTTCTCGTTCTGTTGTGTACCCTGAGGCCGCTTCTGTCTTTGTGAAGTGCTGAGTAGCAGTGGCCTCTGTCATGTTTCCTTTCACCTACATGGTGTCATCTGCTTCAGTCTCAAGGTGAATGCTGGTTTGCACAATCAGAGTGAGTGTTTAAGGAAATTATTCCATCTCTTTGGGAAAAGAAGGTAGGAAACAACACTGCAGAAGCTGCAGTGGCCACTCAATACACAGAGCTCCATTTCTACATTGGAGCTTGGGGTAGAAACTGGGATTTGGTGCTTGCACCTGGTGAAAGATTTCAATAGTTTCAAAGATTTCAGTTCAGAACACTTGAATAAGTGCCAGTTGCTTTCATAGTGAGTGCCAGATGCAAAATCTGGTTTGATGTATCGGAGTTTACCTTTTCTTGGAAAATGAATTCCCACAATCAATAGTTGGAATGATGTAGGAAACCTAGGGAAAAAATAGAGAGAGATGGATGGAGTTTGTAGACATAAATAATGACTTCTAACAGCATTTGGGAAAGGGAACTACAACTGAAAAGAAAAATGTTTATTGCAGCCACAGCCAAATCCAGTGTTTAGCTAGTTATTTTATCATCTTAAATATTTGGCTGTGAGAGCCAAGCCTGTAAAAGAAAGTATTTCCAGCAGTGTTACAGCTTTGCACTGACCACTTTCACCTGTATGTGGAATATCTATTAGATGTACATTCAAAGCTGTTGGTGAAAGAATAGCTTTGTTTTGGCTTCGCACTGGCTTTGGTGGAGTCCTCACTCTCTTGGCACTTTATTTTTAAAAGTAAATTGAGTAGAATGCTAAAGCACACTTTCAAGCATGTGACTCCTCCCTTTCCAGGGAAGCCTGTGCTCTACATGGTGTGAATAGGCTGTTACCTGCTGGCAGGGAACTAGTGAGGGCTGGGAGACAGGTGGGGATTTGTCAACGTGGGCACAGCCCCCTCCACCCAAGCAGGACAGCAGATCTGGTCTGAGGAGAGCACCTGGGGCAGAATCCAGCACTGGCCCTGGTGAGGGTGATGGCAGTGGCAGCTGCAAAGTACTTTGCTGGTGAATGATAGTAAATGATGAAACATTTTGGACTTAGGAAGGTCTTTGTGTTTGTCAGCAATTTTATTAAGTTTGTCTGTTATTTAAGAACAGTTTTCCCCCATTTGCAAATGGGGTAAGTCAGCCTGGCAGGTCCAGCCAGCAGGAATTCAGTGTGTGCCCTTTTAGCACAAAGCCCCAAACTCAGCAGCTGCTAAAAAGCATGGATACCTCCTGCAAGCAGACTGTTTAATTACAGACCCAAAGCAGGTCACCATCAAGTTATATGTGATGTGAGATGTTGCATGTCATGGCTAAGGCATGGGTGAGGAGACCTTTTTTTGGTTGATTATTTTTTGGCAGATTTTCAGGGTAAATAAATTGAAAAAAAGTTATGATAACCCACTAGTGTCTGTCTCTTATCCATGATCAAGAAGTCCAGCAGAGGGGATGTGGGAGGAGGGAGGAGTGGGAACAGTTGCAGAAGCCAAACTTGTGCCTTGGATTAGTGTCTGGTATTAAAGAGTCAAAGAGAGGTGCCTGCTGCTGGTGAAAAGCAAATTGATGGTGGTTTTGTAGAATAGATCATCTTTATATAAGTGATGCAGGCAAGTGCCAAACTCAAACCTTTGGCATCCTGATAAACAAGACAAAAGTTGTGTGCTTGCTGTGTCCCCTGAGGGAGCCCTGGGCAGCCTGGCCTTCCTGAGTGTTACTGGGGAGACAGAAGAAATGCTGACCCAGGAAATGGAGTGAGTCTTGAAAATGATAAGTTAGTAAATGTTGGGAAAGGGGTTCCTGAGAGAGGTGCAAGGGTTGGTGGTGCCCTTTTGTCGTGCTGCTGATCTGTTTATCATCAGCAATGCCTCATCACAATGCTCTAGGCCTTGTTAGTGTTCAGAAAGATTTGATCTAAACAAGTTGCTTTTGCACTGTTCGCTGTGCTTTGAGGTTCATGTGGACTTCATACACAGAAAAATCCTTGTTTTGTAACCTGTTTTGTATCCCTGCAATGAGATTACATGAACCTGAGGGCTTTGAAGTAATCAGAGGACTTCTCATGACTTAAACTATTTAAATTTTTCTAATGACAAAGTTTGTTTAAAGAACATTACATTAAGATGTAAGAAATCACACAAAATGAGCACTTCCCAGGAAACAAATCAGCCTAGGGCATCGATTCTGGTTAGAGAACTGAAGTGTGGAATTTGTTATTTGTTTCTCTTGAGCATTCCATTTTGTGCCACCTGACTTGGTGTGTGTGTTGATTATTTTTCTCTGGATAGCACAGAGCCATATTTTTTTGACATTTGTTGAGGGAGAATGTGAAGTGTTCAAAGGTTAGATGATCCAGCTGATATCCCATCTCTGTGAGCAGAAAGCACGCAAGAGGCTTATTGGTAGCAGGACATTTCTGCTAAAATAATGAGGAATGGAGCAGTTAAGATTTTAAAAAGCATATTGTCATCTTCAAGTTTCTAAGTGTCTGGAACGGAAAGCCAGAGCCATATATGCTCTTTTTTAGTGACCTTGTCACAATGAGAGTGGTAGATATTTTCTGTATTTAAATAAAGTAAGCTTTCCTGTTACAGTAGATTCAGAAGTTCTGTTTAACTATTCAACTTGATGAAAGCTGGACAGAAGAAAATTAAAATTACATAGTTTTCACTGTTTTAGTTTGGATAAGCAAAAAAGTTTCAAGTCACTTATGAATACAGGTGTTGAAAATCTAATGTGGCCTGGGTGGACTTGAAAATGTCGCCTTGTCTTTTCAAATAATATTGACAAGAAGATCTTGTCTATTGACAAGAACATTTTAGTTGTGCATGTTGTTAAGAATGGAACAGGAGTAATCGCTGATCTCTTTGACCTAACAAAAGTGCTCAGAATTTTTAAACAGATGAATGTTATCAATTGTTTCCATTGTGCAACAGCCACAGCCTAATGAACAATTTATTTTTGACCATCGGGAATGCCATCCTTTTGTTATTTAATTTCAATTAAACATTTCTGCATTACACTTTGGAAGTGCTATTCCAGTGTTGGCAAATGTCCAGAGGTTTGTAGATATTTTGGCTGTTGTAATGGTGATGGAACTGAGACAAAATTTGAGGAAAGGATGTTAGTGACTACAGAGGAAGGAGAGCTTCTGGAAAGAAATGTGAGGAAAGGGACTGAAAGTTAAGGGTCTCTTCTACTTGAGTTCATCATGCTCAGTCCATCCTTTCTTTCCTGGATTAGCACCCTGCCTAATTTCTGCTATATTAAGATATGGAAAAGAAATGGTTGCAGGAAGAAATGCCTCAAAGGCACCTGCCTCCACCAAAGGTCAGAGCTGGTGCTGGGCATTCTTAGCCTCTGTATGTGGATGCTGCTCCTCACTTATTTCTGGTGGTCACACTGACAAACTTTGAGATCTGGTTTAAAATTGCTGCCGTTTTTTTCTACTTTTTTTTTTCCTCTGGTGGAGACTTCAAGTGTCCCATGTGTTTTGAAAATTCTATGGAAAATAAACTTCTTTCTGAAGACGCCTGATTTTAAGTTGCTGTGCCTGTAGGGTTTTTGTGTTGAGTTTTTTGCCTCTCAGAGTTGAAGTTGGACAAATGTTGGTCACTGCATTCTGAGAATGCCGTAACGTTGGCATTTGGCCATCAAGAAATACTTTGTGAGTGTTTTTCTTGAGTCTTCATTCCAGGTCTTCTGAATAAACCAGTGCTGAAAGCTAAAATACCAACAAATCTTGGAAAGCAAACCTGATCTAGCTGATGTTAAATGACAGGCTCTTTCTTTTCCAGATTGTGTTAATTGCTTGTAGTTGATTTTCCTGTATCCTGTCTTTTAAAACTGCTGGTTTTCTGTTGCAACCGTGTGTCAGCAGAGACCATCAAATCTTGATACTGTTCCAGGCTCTGTCTCTGAAATGCTCAGAACAGACTTTATCTTATCTTGAGCATTCCCTAGAAGTTCTAGTTTTCATAATCCCTTATTTCCTAATGCTTTAGGATGTACTTTGGGTAATATGTGAGATGTGTCTGCATTCCGTTCCTCTATTCTATTGCAGTAGCTTTTTAAAAGAAAGCTGGTTTGTGGTATGCTAGGCAAACTTTGCATATGATTATACTGGCTCTTCTGACTTCAGGAATGTGAAGGCTCTGGGCAAAATCTGGATGATTTTTCTCTTTGGTTTGTGGTAAGTGAAATTATAATTAAGAGCTCTTTAAAAATAATCAAATTCTTAGAAACAATCATTTTTATTTTGCATGTAAATGAAAACAGACAGAAAGAGAAAGGAGATTTATAGGAAAAACCTTGAGCTATTTTGTTTTGAATTATTTCTTAAAATGAAAAGTTGAATCAAAACTTTTCAGATTTGCAAAATCCAGCATTTTGATACCACAGAAAAGCTAAAAAACCACCAAACCCCAAACCATCCCATTATTTTTTTTCCCCACTGAAAACATGAAGTCAACAGCTTTGCACAATAGTGTTTAAAAAGTTGCGTTTTTTTCAGTGGGTTCTGGAATCTGGGATTTGGTTTTCTTGGGGCTGCTCTGAGGTATGGCTCCTTCTGCCCTGATTATTCTGATCTCTGCCTTTGGAACTTGCTCAGAGCTAATAGTTACTTTTCCTGTCACTATTGCCAGACCTTATGAGTCCTGCTAGCTGGCTGCTTATCACTGAAATAAGCAAAAGTTTGCTCTGTCATCTACTAACTGCCAAATATCATTCACAAGCAATTTTTTCTACTGCAAGATGGACATGAAACACCTGCTAATTTCAGGCTGGTTGGTAAATCCCTCTAGAGCCTTCACAGGAGGCTGCACACAGGCTGTTCCTTTGGTCACCATTCAAAACTTGGAAGGAGAGATTTTGAACCATCAGCAACAATTGGCATGCTAATTGCCATGCTACTTTAAAAACAGCCTGCTTTTATTTTTTAAAAGCATGCCAACCTAGCATCTTCATTGCTTAATACAAAATTATTTTTTATGATATTTTGTGAGCGTTTTCAAAAGCTGATGTTGATTTCCCTGAAATCAGCTGCATCCACACTCAGTTGCCCAGCTTATGGGACTGCAAAGACAACCTCATTTTCCAGGATCTCTGTGGATCCCTCTCTGAAGCTCATCCCTGTTATAATGTCATGTCTTACACTGTGTTTTAAAATAATTTTGTATTAAGCAATGAAGATGCTAGGTTGGCATGCTTTTAAAAAATAAAAGCAGACTGTTTTTAAAGAAGCATGGCAATTACCATGCCAATTGTTGCTGATGGTTCAAAATCTCTCCTTCCAAGTTTCAGATTTTTGCCTGTTGTTAATCCTCCTGCTGAGACTACAGTGGTTATCTGCTGTGATTCGCTGGTACAACCAATATCTGTGAACTCTCTGAGGACATTCTTGGCAGCTGCAGGACATAATTACCACATTTGAGAATATTTTTTAGGCATTTGGATCTATGGCTGGGTTTTCAGATTGCTCCCCAGCTAACGAACCCGTTACTGGTTTGACACAGTTGACAGCTGGCTGTGCTGGTGGCTAAAGAACTGCCTCTGGGGCTGTCTCAGAATGAGGTTAATGATGGGCTAGATAAGTCCCCTGCATTTCCTATACCTCATTTACCTGGAATTGTGCTCTTTACTAGGCTTTTCCACATAACAACAGACCTCACCAAACTGCCATATTTACAGAATGGTGCAGCTATTCTGCTGGGCCAAATTTGGGCTTATTTAGTGGGTTTGTCTTTTGTTTGTTTGTTTGTTTGAAGTAGTGACAACAGGAGGAAAAAATCTCTGCTCTGAAAATGCACTGTTTTAATAAAGGGAAGGGCTGTCAAACATCCATTTTGGGCTGGACTCATACTTGTTAACTGTATGAGCATCCCTTTTCTCTCTCAAGTTATTATGATCCACAAAGGAGTGTTTGTACTTCAGTGTGCTTTTGGTTTTCTTGCTTCCTCCCTGCAGGGCTTCTGGAGACCATGACTAATGATGGATTTGTGAAGCTTCCATGTAGATCCCATGTCTGTAAGTGCCTCACACATGGAAGTTTAATAGCTATTTTTCTTGTGATACTTCATTTGTGGTCAGCTGTGCAAGGTGAAGAGCAAACATAATGTTGATATGTGGTGCTGATATTTTAAACAGAGCCACAGGAAAATAATTATTATATTTGGGGAGGACAGCACTAAAGGGATCTTTTTTTCCCTTAAAGCTTTTCCTTCTCCCTGGGATGGTTGAAATAGTTAAGTCATTTTAAAAACAAATTCCCATCCTCCCTGATTTAAGATCTATTCCTGCAGTATGTATTGAGTGGGGGAGATACTGTAGCATTTTTATGAGGAGGTAAAATATTGGCTTAATGATAATTTGGCAAAGTTTCAAGATATCTGGGAAGACTTCCTGGAAATTAAAAACAACTCAAATGTAAGAGAAAATTAAGCTACTGACCCTAAGTACAAAAGGGGAAGAGCTCAGACATCCATTCTTCCCTGCTGCTTGATCTTTTCTTTTCTTTTCTTTTCTTTTCTTTTCTTTTCTTTTCTTTTCTTTTATCTTCTCTTCTCTTCTCTTCTCTTCTCTTCTCCCCTTTCCTTTTCGCTCCCTTTTTTCTTCTTCTTTTTTTTTTTTTTTTTAAACCCCTTTTGCTAATTATCTCCCCTTGACCCTGACTGCTCTCATTACAGGGTGGAGGGATAGTTTGGTATAAATTTGCTCTTACAATAGGTGCATGTTTTTAATTTTCCAGGGGTTTTGTTTCTTGATGATGGTGGAACTTTTTGTGAAGGTTTCCAAATGGAGCAAATGTATCTGAGAACAAGCCCCCTTTCTGCTTGTGGCGTGAGGGCTGAGGAGAGAGACAGTTTCTCTGAGAAAATTAAATTCTTCTCTGTACTTCAGTCATTTGCACCATTTTTCTACAGCAAAATGTGTAAATATCTGGAGGTGTGCAGGATGTCATAGAGACTATTTTGGTCTTCCTAATGCTGCTGCCTGTATATGGATCATCTGAGCAGACTTCTCCATGCTATTCCCTCTTAGGGACCTGAGCTGATCCTCCTTGACATCCTTAGATGAAGACCTTATTTTTGGGATCTGTATGAGTTTTTACTCATTTAGAAAATACAGAATCAGACTCACTAGACCTCTTGTAGCATAAGGAATAATTCTTTCTTATCTAGGGAGCTCCTGACCTCACTGCTGGGAAAAGTGGAAGGTGGGGTAATTGGAGACAAGTTTCTTGGTTTGGTTTTTCAGGAGGGTGGAAAGAGATTTTGACATCTGAACATGTGGAGCCAGACTCACCACTGACGTGTTTCATTTAATCACATCAGCCAGAGAGTGATAACGTTTGATTCCTGCACAGCAGACATTCCATGAGAACTGCCTGTGCAGAGCCTGAACATCTGATTTTAATCCATTGTATGATTTAGCCTTTTAGAAAATTGCTACTTTTTAACATCTCTGTCCTGTTCTCCTCCCCATAATTCTGGGGAAGGCTGGGCTGGGAAGGAGCATATGACACAGAAGCTTGGGAAAGCTGAGAAAACAAGGGAAGGAAATCAAGATATAGGAATCAGAGTAACATTTGGTGGTGGTGTTGAAATGTGTGTTTGGGGAAGTTTCTAGCCTTTATAGCTACAGGACACTCTGCATGTCACCCAAATGCAATGGATGTTGGAGTTTGCAGTCAGCCTCAAACAGCAGCTGTTGGGGATGTGCCCCACTGCATTGGTTTTAGCTCTGAAATCCACTGCTGCTCATCCAAGTGATTTGCTGTGGTATGGAGCAGAGAGGGTTCATGGGCTATGCTTGGAGCCTATGGTTTTGTCTTGGGGAAGGCAGCTGGTCCTATGAAAAGCCCTGGAAATGCTGGTGCCTGCAGGTCAGAGCCATAGACATCAGCCTGAGGTCTACTGCTGCCATCGGTAAATCCCACAGATGCCAGCATTCAAAGGCTGATGGAGTCCAGCCTTTTGGAGCAGCCATTCACAGCACTGACCCTGGTCCCTGATAAAAGTCAGAACTGACTTTCAGTGTTCTTTTATTTATTTATTTATTTATTTATTTATTTATTTCCAAGCTAACCCCTTAAAAGCACAGTTTCAAGCCTTGCACTCTGACCTGTTGTTACTTGCTGTTCCCATTCTTAGCCTCTGTTCTGCCTGTCATCTGTGTGCTCCAGAACCTCTTTTGGAAACTGCTGTAATTACCTCACAGAGCTGTGGAGTTGGTTTCTTGTCCAAGCTCAAGTTGTGAAACTTTTTTTTTTTTTTAAGAAGCAAATTACAGAAATCTATTAGAGAGACTCTTAGTCCTCCTTCTTCTTCATTTCTCTGTCTTTGCACTGGATATTTTGTTTTCTTTCATGACTTGCCTTTTAAAACATATTAGTGCCTGCTTAGGGTATGTCTGTCTACTACTCTGGCTTGAAGAACAGAGGCCACTGAGATGAAGAGGATGTTGCATTTTGACAGCAAAATGCTTCAGGACAGGATGTTCTGGATAAGCCAGCTGTGTCTGCTCCAAGATTTGAGCTCTTTGGAGGGAGGCAGTGATAGAATAATGTTAGTGGAAATCTTTAGGAATAAACTGGCTTTGGTCCAAGCCAGTTGAACTGTAAAGGAAAGTTCAGAAAATCTTTGCTAGAACTGGGCAAGAAAGGTAAGATTTCATGGAGCATCTCCTCTGATATCTGGGCATTAGCTTTGTGCCCACCAGCTGCTTGGAAAGATGCCAAGAACTGGCATCCAACACTCTGTTGTTGGCATCACCAAGATCTATGCAGAGGCTGTTGGAGTGCTTCTTCCAGTAAATGCCCCTTACTGTACTTAAATTCAGGGATAAACTGAGCTGATAGTTCAGCTGTCAAGATAAGCCACCTAGCCTAGAGTTTGTGCTTGATTTCTTGCCACCAGCCCATCTGTAGGTCCATAATGTCTCTAAAGTCTTGGGAACTATTCCTCCCTTTAAAACAAGGATACCAGCATGCCCAGCCTCAGAATGATAAGTTAGTCTACATTATATTTGTATTCTTATGTTTGCACCGAACTGAAAAAAGAGGTGAGCTGAGGAAGAGGAGGAAATTCTGAAGACATTAGTGCAATTTTGAGGTCTGGTTGGCTTTTTTTTTGTGAATTGGCAAGGTCTGTGAAATTTTGGATAATCTCTAAAAATGTGTCAGTTACATAAAAAAATCTTGTTTGTGGGATTAAAGTAATTAAGTGATTAGTAATTAAGGAATTAAATAACACTGAGATTTCAAAAACTCTTTGGGGAGACTGTATGATGTTTCTTGGTGTATTTGGTTTGTTATAGTCCTGTTTTGCAGTGTGTAGGTCAAATATTAGTTGTGCCTGTTTAGGCATGAACCTTGGGTGGGGGACAGAGGGTTTGTCCTTGGTGTGCTGAGCATGTTCCCTATCAGTGCTGGCTGGTCTGTGTGCCCGTGTTTCACATTATGTGCTTCCTTTTGCAACTCTCAATCCTTTTAAGGCTCTTCTTTCATTTAGTAGCAAGGGTAAAGCATTCAAACGTTCCTTTCCTGCCCTTCTATTGCAAAAGGACAATTTCTTTCAAAAGCAGAAAGGCTCAACTTCCTTGACCTTAGGAATCCAGCTGATGTGTCAGGGAACCTCAAATGCCTGGCAGCTATTGAAAATTTAGCTTTGTGTTTGTGTTGTTGGCTCTGAGCTGTGGGTCTCCTGAGAGCTGCTGAGCTCACCCTGCTGGGGATGCAAGCAGGCCATTCCCAAAAGGTGAACAGAACTTCTTCTCTCCTTGAAAAGGGCTGGGGAGGTGTGGCCATATACAGCTTTACAGACCTGAGTATCACCTGCTGATGCTCTTTAATTAGAAGGGAAAAGAATGTGACTGGGTTGTTTGTTTCTTTTATTAGTTGCAGCACTGTAGAAACTCGAGGCAACAGTCAAGGATTCCATCAGAGGGCAAATGACAGTAGGGAAAAAAGCTAGAAGAACGAGGTAGGTTTTTCTCACTAGACTCCCTATGAATTATATTCTTGACAGGAATGTGCATTACGCATACATGCAGCATAGGTTTGCATCCAGAAATTCACACCAGGGACTTAAGATTTCAAAGACTTTGGACATTTATCTATTGTAAATGTAATTGTATCTAGAAGTAAATAAGACTCTGCAATTTATAGGCACTTTAATCTTGCACTATTTATGGACACAGGATTGCTTAGAATAATGCTGCCTTATTTTATACTGATGGTGTTGTATTTTCACCACTATAGTAAGGGTTATTTCAGCTGTGAACCTTTATCAGAGTCTGTGAGTTTCTAGAGGGTTATAAACTGGCTCGTGTTGTCTCTGAAGAAACATGAACTCTCAAGCTTGGAAGAACATAGTTAAAAATTTAAGATCCATCAGTGTACCAAATATTTATGCTTATGGATAAATATAGAGGATTCTTTCCAAACATGGGTGCATGTGCTCGTACGAATGTTCTGAAGAGAGAGTTAAAATTAACAGCGGTTTGTCTGATTCTGTTGTTTGTTATGTAAGGAGAGAGAGGGTGCACTCAGAACTAAACAGAAATATTTCTAAATTCAGAGAAAGTTGCCGTAAATAGACCCAAACCCATTCCTTCTTCTGGGAACTGATCCATACACAGTGCTATTCTCTCTCACCAGGGCAAGGTGGATGTTATTGCCCCGCTGGGCTAATTTTTGGCAGGCTGTTAGACTGCAGGAGAGCACCCATAGGTGCAATATTTTAGTAAGAAAGAGGGTTTAAATTTCTAGCAGAGAAATGGGCTGGTAGCAGCGATGTTAACACAAGACACAATGTACCTCCTTTCTAATTCTAATATGCTGGCTTTTAATCAGCAGTGCTTTGACGTCTGCTGCTGAATAACAGTGAAAAAAGAGAGTTGCAGAATCAGAGCCTAAGTTTCTTAGCTATTGTATCTTGGGACAAAGGAGACACGTCAGGTCACTTCAGAGTAAACAGTGGGGTTGGAAAGTGAGGTGAAATGGAGAAAATGTTTTGGATCTTCAT